TGTTATGTACTCCAACAAGAATAGGAGTGCGACAAAGTCCAAGTTTATTGAAATTAAGTTCCTCGTTATTCAGGAGAGAGTACAAAGTGGAGAGATTTCCATAGAACACTTAGGGACAAACTCMATGATAGCAGATCCTCTTACAAAAGGAGTTACACCAAAGGTCTTTCATGAGCATACTGCTCGAATGGGTGTTTTAGAGTTTAATGATCATTTGGTTTAGTGGGAGTTTTCCCATTTTTTTTTTTGGGTTCTATTTTGGACAACGTGTTTATGTACATTTTCTTATCTGATCATAAATAAAGTTTAAGCTTAAGTATTCGGTTTACACTTTGTACAATAAAGTTAAAAGATCTCACTAAAGTAGGACCAATTGAAAATCGACATGTGCAGACCATTTTTCATGTGACTTTCATGCTACATGTTTCATAATTGATCCATGTCATTTGGTTATATTGATTTCAGTGATCATGGAAGGTTTAGTTATGATTGATATAACAAAAGCCACCATGATCCTATGTTGTTATAACTAATGGACGAGATTGTTTTATACTCGGGAATTAACGACATATTTGAGCTCATAAGGACTATCATATTTTTAGGAACATATATGACCCAGTGGGAGATTGTAAGATCATTAAGTGGGGTCACATATGTTAATATCTAATGTGTTAGGGTCATTAATTAATTAGTCTAACTCTATAGTGGTCACCTTTATAATAAAGTAAAAGGCTATGGACATAAATGTTATGAAATATTAATATGTGGATACCTTTAGTAATTTCTAATTTGATGAAGGGCCGAATTAGAAATTGATACTCTATATAAATAGAGGGTTATGGTCCCCAAGCAACCCTAGCCGAAAATACAGAAACTCTCTGCATCCCATCACCAGAGAACTAAAGTCACATAGGGTTTGTTTTGGAAGAGCCATTRCCAGAATTCAGGAAACAARTCATGGATCCAAAAGGTACGCTTCCGCTTCTATTATTATTATTCAGAGATTGACTTGAGTTTATGGTTTATGTGAAATAATAAAATATAGTTCCATCATTATCCCCTTTTAGTTCTTCTAACAAAAACAATCTTAAACGAAACACGCATAAAGACCAAAACTTCAGCAACATGTAGACACTGGTCGCTGTCTCTACAGAGTCGAATTCTACGAAACCATAACTGCTTGAACGATTTTCTACATCCTTTTGATGATTTATTATCTGCTCACAATGGAAAGCAAAGGAATATTACTCCATGGTTAAGAGCACCGTTATGTGGTTAGCAATGAACAAGAACTTACCTTGACACTCAGAATCTTTCCGTGCTTCATCGGTTCTGTCAAATGCTTCTTCAAACTCTCATCACCTGTCTTGATGCTCAGATTCTTAATATGAAGAACATTTGACTGAAATGAAATCCATTCAAAGGAAAATGTTATGAACAAACCCATTCAAAGGACATATTGATTTCGTAGTATTTGCAGCAATCATAACTTGACAAACCTCAGTTATATCAAGATCCATTTCAAACTGCTGCTCAAGGTTGGCTCTTCTCACAACATTTTCTCCAACATCACTCTTCTTTTCCTTGTTATCGGAAAGTGTTTTAGGCACAAGAATATCTTCAGGAGCCCACTCCAGATACAGAGAAGCATCTCTGTAAATAATAGAGAAATGTTATGTCATTAATAAAAAGTTGATTTTAAAAGCTTACAAGTAACGCTTGTATGCCATTCTCGTCATAGCTGGCACGTGCCTCGGTCGGTTCAAGGAAAACAACCTGAAGGGTCATGTAACGAAATGTTAGAGAACAATCAACTATTCTCAAAGATATCAAAGTAAGGAAAAAAATACCAAGGCCATCGCCTTTGCCAGAGGGAGAATAATTTTGTCTAGGTTTCCAAATTTTCCAAACATTTGAGCCAGTTCCTTTTCAGAAGTAGCAAATGACAAATTCTTCACTAAGAGAATATGTTTGCTTCGGATCTTCTCTTCTTTGTCTTTCCCTGTAGCAAAATTTTCCAAAGAAGTGACACTTACTCCAGCTTTAGCAAGTGCATTTTTGGTCTCTGCAATCACTTTTGCTTCTCCCAAAGCAAGAAGTACAACAAGATCTTCAGATTCACGGTCAAGTAACTCACTCTAGCTTACACCAAACATCCTGACCATGTTTTCTAGAACCTAACAACACAAACATGAAGCAAAGCAAGGTCAGACATTAATGGATTATGATGCATTCTTTGAAACAAGAAAGAAAAAACCTTACAGTATTGGGTTGAATGAATAAACTGTTCCAAGCATTTGTATTTCCACTGGCTTCAGATGCTTTTCTTTGTTCTTCTCTCTTTTTCTTGAATGTTTTTGGCAGATTATAACTGTCATTTCCACTGGCAGGTTAGTGACGTAAAGGCGGCCAGTCTCAACAACTTTCAATTCTTGATCCATCTTCATTCCCCGAAATATCAGCATCATCATGTTCATCACTATCACTGTCTGAATCGGACAGGTTTTTCTTTACCCTACTCTTAAAGTATTCCGTATCAGAAACATCATCACTTGGAGCAACAACTTTCTTCTTTCTTGTCTTTTCAGTAACCTTCTCTTTGCTGATTACTTCCGCGATAGGAGGAATCGACATGTCATTCGACCAGATTTTCGACTTACCCCTCACCCTAACATCAAGAAATGCTTGAAACGCAACAGGATCAACAACCTCTGGTTTCTTCTGAATCCTTTTGGCTCCTTTAGCATAATCATGTTTTGAGATTTTACTAGAAGATTTAACACCAATTTTGTTATCTTTCTCTTGACGACGGCTCCAAGGACGAGGAGTATTATCATCACCAATTCTACCAGCAATCTATAGGTTTAAAAGAAGAATCTAAATTAGATTAAAAATACTCCTACACAAGTGAAAAACAAAGTTTTTGTTTTTGAAGTGCAAACCTCAAGATATTCGACAAGTATCAATAAAAGTATTGTTGAAATACTTAATAGCTTCTTGAGCTTCTTGTTCACTACGAAATCCAATAAAACCAAATTGTCTACTTTTACCATCCCTGCAAAACCAAAAAACAATAGTGACTAAAATTAAAATTTAGTTTGTGAAATACATTCGATTTGAATATATAGTAGTAGTTGTAGTACTTGGAACGCATCAATTGAACGTCTGTGATTTCTCCCTTCTGTGAAAACACATCTCCAAGTCGATCCTCTTTCACGTATTTGGGTAAATTCTGCACGATTATCCTCGACCTAGATAATGAAAACAAAAAAGAAGATAACTTTCTTGCAATGATTGATTTCTATAGTTAACCCTAAAAGAAATAACTGTTTCCTTGGAACCCAATACTTACATTCTTTAGGTTTACAATAAGAGTTCGTTTTAGCACTCCACCTCTAGATTAGGGTTTCGGAGATTAACGATGATGATACAAATTAAGAAGTAGAAGACAAAAGGTTTTAAAAAAAATTAGAATGTTCTAAATTTTAATTTTCAATTTTATTGGGTTCAAACTAGTAAAAACAAGAGAAATTAGGTTGTATATTACTTTTTCCATCTATAATTCACTATCTAACATCATATAAATCATAATATAGTAAATAACATTTGACCAACTTAAAATAACGTTTTTACCCCTATACAATTATATAGATTTTTATTAAAAAAACTTAAAACATAAATAAAAATATGGTAACTTCATCATTTTACCTTAATTTCTTTCTCCCACCATCGACTTTCCATTTCTCTCTTCTCATAACTTTTCATTTCAAAGATTTCTTATATCTTTCTTCTCTGATTCCACATTTCTTCCTCTATCCTACCCTAATCTTTTATCGATATCACGTCTCTTCTATTTTTTCCCAAGTTCCCTTTGTTCTGAATACTTACATTACAACACAAGGCCAATTTCTTCTCTTGGTCGATCAAAAAACTGTTGGGAAGCGGAAAACGATCATGGAGAATGTGTCATGATGAGTCCACCATAAAGGATTTCCTCCACAACAAGGCGGCTTCCGTATCGGTATCAATTTTATTAGTCACCCAAAACTCCATCTTTGATGTAGTTATGTTGTGATATAACAATGAGAGTTGTTCTTCTGTAACAACTGATAAAGCCATCCAATATGTTATTAAAACGTTAACAATTGAATTAATCACTGTAAAAATTATATAGTTTACTATATTATTAATTTAATAGCTAACTACAACAATACATAAATAAAAATATAGTCAACTATATAAAGTAAAAATTTTAGCTAACTACAAATAAAATGAATATAGTCAACTATACAAACTTTCGTTACTTTTGAGATCTGCCGACAACAAAAACATAAAATGTTTTTTAGGGATTCTAGGGATTTTTTGTGTCTACTACTTTCCTTAACCG